CCGGGAAGGCGGGGACGTGGGCCTGTGCAGGCTCCTGCCAAAGCCTCTTTCCCTGCAGGAAATCCAACTGTGTGACAGGGGGCACTCAGCCTGCCGCATGGCCTGGCCCCGGAATTGTGACCGAGCCCGTCCTGCGGACAGTGGACACACCGACTGCTCTCTCTGGGAGGCGGCAGCGTCAGGACCGGACCCCAGTACTCGCCAGACTGACGTGGGCAATGGAAGTTCTCCTCTGGGTGTCTGGCCGAGGAGGTCAAGAACTGGACCTGCAGCTCTGTTCCACGGACGTTCTCGCCAAACCCTCGGCGCTCCTTCGCAGCGTGTTTTCCGCGTGCGGGCGGCGGCTGGCCCCAGGACGGCTCGGAACTGGGTCCAGTGAACACGAGTATTATCGTGACGTGGAACCCAAAGCTCAGGAGGCCCCAGGAGTCAAATACCGTCCGGGCTGCCATTAGCTGTGCCCGGTACCAGCCGCTGTGCACACGCTGCGCGTGGACGGAAATCCGCGGTCCCCGTCACACAGGTAAGTGCGTCCCCCAGGCCCCGCACGAGGCTCAGTCCGCGGGCAGCGTCCAGGCAACTCCACTGCCCGCGGCCCTTCTCTCCTCTGGCCGCTGAGGGTTGGTCCCAATCTGACAGCGTCCTCCATGCCTTTAGCTTCCCCAGGCCTGGCACAGTCCTGGGACCCTGCCGTGACCTCCCGACTTCATTCCCACCAACAGCCACGATTGCCGAGATGGTTGGTCCCGCTCGGGGCAGTAAATTCTCAGCTGGGCTCGGGCATCCTGTTCCTCCTAAAGTAGGAGAGTCACCAGAGGCCGTGGGGCCGGGGCCGAAGGACACGGAGCTGCTCAAGGGTGTGCGCCCCCCGCAGGGCAGTCTGAGCTTCAGAAAGCATTTGACTCAACACATTGAATTTCTAAAAAGCAGTGAAATGTGTGCGCAATGACACCAACACAGAACCAGGACGGAGAGCCAACAGCTCCTCAGATGTCCTTGCAGGTCGTGAGGGCACCGACTCCCTCCAACAGCTGCCGAGGAGGGAAACCAGGCGTGCGCCCTGCCTCCTGGGCACGAACGGTGCAGGAGGGTCCCGTCGGAAGACGGACGCTGACAAATGCAGAGGATCCAAGACCTGAGGGCCACCCTGCAGCGTCCCCGAGGAGCTGACTGACCCAAGCAGCGGGCATTACGGACGTGCGGGGTCATGGGGGCACCTAAGCACAGGTCCCTCTCCCTGCCCGAGAGCGCCCCTAACCCCCCGCCAGGCGGGGGCCTCCCCCAGCACTGAGGGCCACCATGCTTGTGGGCCCGTGAACATGGTTAAATCTATTGACTTCCTGACCCATGAGAAGTGTTTTACACAATCCCAGGGTTACTCACAAATAGCCTTTAGTAAAGAAACTAGCAAAAGACTCTAAAAATCTATGTAAATCTACTTCTTGTCCCTTTAAAAATTATTTCTTCAGGGGGAGGGGTGAAAGCTCTGGCAGGTTAATCAGGCAAAAGTTCCCCTAACAAAATAATCAGCCCTGGCTGGTGTGACTCAGTGGATGGAGCATCAGCCTGCGGACTGAAGGGTCCCGGGTTCGATTCTGGTCAAGGGAACATGCCCGGGTTGTGGGCTCGATCCTCAGTGGGGGGCGTGCAGGAGGCAGCCAATCAATGATTCTCTCCCATCATTGATGTTTCTATCTCTCTCTCCCTCCTCTCTGAAATCAATAAAAATATTTTTTTAAAAATAAAAATAAATAAAACCATCAGTTCCCCCCCAAAAAATAAAAAAATAAATTAAAAAAGCTCAAAGCACCATCTAGGAAAAGCCATTGACAGAAATAAATATGGAACCGGAATTGAAATCAGCCGTAGATACACCCTCCCGTCTGAGGGATGAGCCGCCAGCCAAACTAGGTGCAGTTTTTGAAAAGGACTGTTTCAGAGGAAAGAGACGCGTGGGATACAATGAAGGACACAGCCCCAGAGGCCACCCAATCAGCCAAGCGCAGCGAGTCACCACGGGCAGCGGAGTGGGCGGCCGCTGGGGACGTGCAGGCATGGCCGTGCCTGCAGGTGAGTGTTGGTAGATGTTATGATGGTGTCATGCATGTAAAGATGATGCTAGTTTCTTAGCGGCATCTGAGCGTTCTTAGTACTGAATTGCCTTCGATTTGCCCTAAAGTACAGTGGGGCCTTGACTTACGAGTGTCCTAACGAGTTTTTTGAGATACCAGCTGTCTCTTGGCGGATTTTTTGCATTGAGTTGATAGAGTAATTTGAGTTAACGAGCTCCTTAACGAGCTCAGTCTCGGAACAAATTAAACTTGTAAGTCAAGGCCCCACCGTACTGAGCAAAGCGGGAATGGAGCACACCGGCGTGCCGGTCGGGGAGGCGGAGGGCCCAGGCTCCCTGTGCCCCCTGTGCTCTCGGAGAATTTCCTCTCGATGTTTGAACAGTGACGTGGGCTCCTGCCGACGGGCTTACTTCACAGAAGCGTCTACCACACCGTGCTCTCCCTTTTCAATCCTCATTTCTGTTCTCTTAGACATACAGGTGGGAGCCGGCGCATGTCCTGTCCCTACAGCCCCGGCCCTGTCCCTCCACTGGGGCAGCCAGGAGCGTGGTCCCTCCGTGCCCATGAGAAGCCCCCGGCGGGGGAGCTCCCGCACCCGCATCCGCCCGCTCCCGGGGCCCACCCCAACCTGATTGGAAGGTGATCTCGCTGAACATCATCCAGGTGTCGGCGAAGTGGAACTGGCACTTGAGGGCGCTGGCCATGCGGTGCTGCAGGGGCACGGTGACGAAGCGGGCGCTGGGGTTCACGTCGTCCAGCACCAGCGGGAAGGACACGGCGTTGGGCTCCCACTCGCCGGCCTCCGCGCGGAAGTAGCACTGCACCTCCTTGAAGGTCTTCACGCCCTTCTCGAACATGTTGTTGCAGTGCACCTGGGGGAGGGGCCGGGCCTTGACTCCCGTGCTGGCGCTGGCCGCACGCGGAAATGGACGTGCTCTGTATTCCAGGCCTCCTGGCAGGCAGTTC